ATATTCTCAATCTTGTCCAGATTTACAGCAGCATTTTCAGCCCCATGGATTTGAAAAGCGAGTGTTTCATATTTTAAATATTGTTGCAGGTCAACATCAATGTTGGTCAACATCTTTGTTTGGACAAATGAGGCTGAGAGAAATAAAAAAAGGTGTGTGTGTGTGTGTGTGTGTGTGTGTGTGTGTGTGTGTGTGTGTGTGTGTGTGTGTGCGCGCACGTGCTCGTGCCCCAGCTCATCTCTCAGGCGGTGTGTTAGTGTCTAATTCCCAGTGACAGATAACTGGTCGGAGCAGCACGGTGTCAGCTCTGTTTATCCAGGACAGGCTTCCGGGAAATTAGGCCTAACTCATAACCACAGACGCCAATTGTCCTCCAACACATACACACTCTCAGAGTCGCAGGCACATTTATATGGAGAAAATTCACTACATAAATGGATATGGGCCGGCAGTGATACACAGACAAACGTGGATGCACACATGTGTGCACATGCAGATATCAAACCGTGACCTGCACTAACCAACTCATAAACATTCCTTGACAAACACACACATCGTGCCAGAAACTTATTCAGTACTTGTCCCCTCTACTTAATAAATAAGAATCTGGTTCTGGGAGGAGAAGTTTTAGGTGTGTGTTCATTTGTGTGCGTTTGCGAAGGGATGCTGAAATGGAGACGGGGGGGAGAGAGCGGAGCTGTCTAGATTAAGCATGTAGTCTGTGCGGTCAGGCCCCTTAATGAAAACCAATAGAGATTCACTCTGCTTTAATGAACAACACACACACACCTCGCAGCCTCAATTTACACCTGCAATGAGGCCCTGTCACTCACCTTGTGTGTGTGTGTGTGTGTGTGTGTGTGTGTGTGTGTGTGAGAGGAACCGAGTGGGCAGTGTGGCCTTTTCTATCCATTTCTCTCCATTTTTTTTACTCATGCTTTTCTCCATCGGCGTTTGGGACTGAAGCTTCCTGGGTTTGTGTGTGTGTGTGTTTGTGTGTAAACCTCACAGAGTCAATCTGGTAGGTGACACCCCTGATCTGGCTTCTACAACCAGTAAGCAACTCTGGCAATCACAAGACACCAAATTAATTACCACGTGCGTGTGACTGTGTGTGTTTGTCATTGAGCTTGAGAGGTTACAAACACACACACACACACACACACACCACATCAGGTAAACACTGAGGTCTTTGTCTTTTTTGTTTTCCTGTCCCTCACCTCCAGGATGACCAATGTGCTCTTTTCTGTTCAACATTATAATACGTTACGCTGCCAAATTAACAGAATTGCGTGTAGCGGGCATCTGGCCCAATGCGTCTGTCTCTTTATCTATTATTCCTCTTCAACAGCAGTAAATGTTGTTGGAAATGATACAAAGGGGCTCACGTTAATCATCAGTGAAAATGATTGTATAGAAACGTACCATTTCTCTAAGTGACTGGGTTGAAGTAAAAAATAATCGGAGAAACATAATGCATCCTCTTTGTCATTTTATTATAGTATAATATGAGACCGAAAGCCTCTTTACCAAGAAAACAATTACTCAAACATTCGTCCAAACCCACTGATCTTACAAGTTGTTGTTTTCATAAACGTTAAACTTGTTTGATTTGAGCTCTGGTTCTAATGCAAAAGATCAAGTTCTGAGATCATGTTAATGATCAAATATTCTCAAAGCAATGTGTGCCTTTTGTTTTTTTGTGATATACATCGATGTGTGTGTGCAAATGATGTATTCTGTGATTGAATGAGTTGTGTGTTTGACCTCACTGAGCCAAAATAAATCTTGAGGCAAAAGCCTCTCTGAACTGTCGGTGGAACATCACCAGATGTTACTTATTAGATGATCAGATTGAAGCCGGACAGCAATGCAATCACGTATTTGTAGCCAGATGATTCAAATCAGATTGCAATGCACTTATTTAATTTCTTTTATATTTCTGGGACGGTTGGTGGGGTCAACCGAGTTGGATTAATTAAAAGAACAGATAATTGAGTAGACAATGTATGAAGAACATGAAACACAAATTGGTTAATCGAGAGGTTTTAAGGCATAAAAGAAGGAACGCCAGGGAAATTCCTCAAGTCAGATCACGTCAGAATTACCGAAAAGAATACAGACTTGAGTCTGTGAAAGGGACGGACACACTCCTTTTCTCAAATAAAGAACCCTTCATTTTGAGGAACACAAACACCATTATTATGAGTTCAAAGCTACTCATCATTTCAACCATTTATTGATGTATACAACTGCAGCCACTCTGGAGAGTGTTGAGATGCTCATTTTAATGCAGACTTTGCTGCGTGGACGTGAGCTCTGCAGCAGGCGGTGCGAGGCGAGTGTTACCTTTGTCGGTAAGCTGAGGTAAGATAACGGTAACAGGTCATCGGTAACGGGTTATCTGAACAGGTATTTGACCCGTCTGACCCGACCGTGTCACGACTACGCTGGCAACGCGATCTCAGCGTGGCCGCGCCTGAGCTCTGTGACTGACTAATTTAGGAGCCAGACACACGCTGCTTCCTGTGTGTGCGTGTGTGTGTGTGTGTGTGTGTGTGTCTGTCTAGTTAGGGATGTAAAGTTAGATGGGAACGTGACATTTGACTTTCCTATAGTGGGTTGTTTGGTGTGCTCTCACCGTGAGGGGAAAACGTGGGTGGAGGGAGAGATTCGCTCTACATCATTCAGACAAACGGAGTAAAGACGGATTCAGGGGAGAGTTTGACTGACGGTAATGAGACTGAAGTGTGACCGCAACACAATCTAATAAAAAAATACAAACACAATACTTCAATCTTCTGCTGTAGTTCTACCACATTATGTGCGTTTTTTTTCTTCAATGCCGCCTTGAATTCTGCTACATATTCATAACTGTTACTTCTGCCCCAATGACTGCTGCGCAATGTTAATACTAGTAGTACCATTGCTTATTACTTGCTTATTGCTTATTACGTATTACTTATACTATTACCACTGCTGCATGTGCTACTAAAACGTTTAATGCTAAGACGGTGAATCCCACTGCTCCCGTTACAACTCGAGACGGAAACGTACAAAGGCCATGTTTTAAATATTACTGCCTTTTTTTTGCTCATAAAATGTCTAATTTTACTTAAATACTCAGTATCTTTAAACCACACAGAATAAACCAGACACTCAATCCTTAATGAAACAAGACGATTTGTGTCATTTAGGTATTGTCGCACTTGTTTTAAGATTATTGGACCAAATGAAGACTAAACCATTATTATTGGCTGCCTGGAGGTAGTTTCCTACAGTTAGTGTCATGTGCGCTTATTATTAAAATTCCAAACCGCTCTGTGAGAAGTGAAAGGTGTTAAATTCTCTCTTGCCATTGTTTGCCTTGATTTAACGATGGCAGCGAGAGTGAGACTAGATGTAGATTGTTTTAAAATGGGAATATTAAGATATAAGGAGCTAAAATAGAACCAAATAGTTAAAAATACAATATTGAATTATACGTTTAAAAATCTAAATCTAAAAATCTAAATCTATTAAAATGCAGCTTGTTTGCAACATTTTTAGCCAGTATTCCGTGACTATGGTCTCAGTGACTTAACCATTATTTTATTGCAATGCTTTTAACCCCCCTGGCCCCTTTTTAATTGGATTATTCTTATATTAGATGTCATCTTAGTGTGGGTTACAACAAGAAAACAAATCACACACACACACGTCTGACTTTCACTCGCTTCTCGACTGTATGGCCAGACGGGTGAAACACACACCAGAAGACCCATGACCTGATCCGCCTCAGGTACACACTATTACTTTCCACTCTGTTACCTTAGCTTCACACAGCGTAACCTTTCTTAATAATTACCTCAGCTTCCACAGACACATCGAGAGCTCAGATGACGATTACCTGCAGCAGTAAATTCAAGACTCCCCTGGTCGAATTTCTCCAAGGGGAAGCAAGTGGACATCCAGGTACAAAAAACACTCCATAGGGGATTTTCTTTATAGTCGTTCTCCCCCCCTCTTTTTGCAATAATCATTCATAGCTCTAATAGGCCTTTGTCAGTGAAAACAACCAACACAAAATGTCAAGGTGTCCCTTTTTACCAACTCTTGCACATTTATTGTGACATCCGCACTAGGAAATGCAGCTAATGCCATCAAGGTCTAATTATGAGGCAGCTCTGACTGCGGCCAGGGCGTCATCCATCATACTCTGTGCCGCTGATACTGTGCCCAATAGAAACGCTTGTAATCATGCTGCCTCATGTGTCACTTGTCATCCTCTATGGCCGGCTAGGTTTGTGCTAATCACTGCTATTACAACCACATCAGTACGCCGAAGAAGCCCCTAATGGACTCGTCCTGGGTGGTGTGTTAAGACGCATACATTCAAAAGGGGCTTTTCCCCCCAAAAGAAAGTAGATTCGTTACAACTGGCATTACTCCCAGTTTTAGCTTGCGAGAATAAAGGTGTCCATCTGTTTAAAAAATATTTAAAAAATATATATTTTTGAAGTATTTCTTGGGAAGCGAAGTCACATTATTAAATTCCACAACTGAGTTTTGGCAGCTTTCTTATTTTTAGCCTATAGGTTATAATGCGGACAAAAAGACGGAAGATCGGAAAAAGCTCTGGCATTTTTAATTCACTCAAATGAAACTACTCATTACTGAGAAAATAGACCCAATGCCTGTACTGCTGACTGAGAGAATGCAGTGCAGGAATACCACTGTAATGAATGTCACATTTTCTGCATTGATATGAATCCCTGTATGCCATATTAATATTAATATTGCCTGTTAATACTCAAGCATGATATACAGCGGCTCTGAAGGTGACGGAGGGGGAATTGAGGGGGAGTGACGGCCTGCGGGCCTCAGGGTCGTGCCTTTTACTCCTCTTTTTGCCTTTTTTAAATATATTACAATCGGTTCATCTCTTATTCACCTTCTCTTCCTCTGCGTCCACCCTCCACTCATCACTCCGCCTGCTCTTCTTCCTTTCTGTTTCCCAGACGCCTTGGGCTGATCCCTTGGTCTGATGGCTCCCAGCAGGAGGGGAGGACTCAGGATGCAGCATAATAGGATGCTGTAGTCACAGGACTGCTTTGGATAAAGTGCATATGTGTCAGTCACATATTTGTTTTTTAACCTCAGCCAATAAAATATAAATTTTCTCATCAATCATGAATACGGTTTGTGCATAAAATTATAAGTAACATTGTATTTTGTGTATTCCTCCTTCTTATGCTGTGTTTTTATGTAACCGGAGTCAAATCCACGTATGCATAATCGTACATGACGAATAAAGCTGATTCTGAAAATGGGAATAATACCTCACCTTTTTAATTTTTACCCTTTTAAAAATATTAGTATAACACAAATTTCTTACGATGAATCAAAACAATAACGCACATAAACTGCTGTTGCCAATGGAACCATTGAGTGCTGCATGCATAGTTTTTTGACTATACTTAATCTTGTGTGCGTGTGCACCACAGAGACTTTTCACTCATTGTAAATCACTCAGCTCTCACTGGCGGCAAACACCAGCTGCAGTAAATGACTCAAATATAAAATGAACACTTTGTGTGTTTATCTCATCTCTTCAGTCCCAAACCCCGACTCCACCTCATCGTCAAGTAATAAAGCAGTGCGTAGTTTTCTCAGAGAGCTAATAATTATGGGAGCGCTGCGATGAGAATCTTTTCTCTAGATAGACTAGATTGGCCATTCATTACCAGCCACACACACACACACACACACACACACACACACACACGCTGCAGAGAGACAATGGAGTACAGGCTGATTCAATCTGGGCTTGTACTTACAGACAACAATGAGATAATCAAGTTGAGCATTACACCACACACTGCAGGGCTTGGTGGGCGCGTATGTGTGTCGTCCTCCTTTTTAATGGACAAGATCGTACCGTACCAGTATGTTGAGGAATCGGCAACATTTATTACCAAAATATGTCAGACGTACAAGGAATTTAACTTTGCGGTTGGTGCGTAACATCAGACTGTAAGACAATCGACAACAAGACAGATAAGACAACATAGTGTAAGAAAATGGCATGTTCTCCCTACACATTTACAATTATATAAAAAAAATCAAATAAAAAATCAGGCTATGGGCCATGGCTGTTCTTCTGTCTGTGTCCGTGTACACACAAGAGTTCACGCCATACAAACACACTCTGGCTGCAGCGCAGAAGAAAAAAAAGGTGCAAGTAAAAGGGGAGAATGAAAAGGCCATTCATGTAAGGTAATGTCATTCTGTGTAAAATATAATCCTCTTTTTGTGTTAATTGTGCTGTTTGTTTTTCCCAGTCACACTTTTAGATACAACTGTTTTTACAAGTTAAAACTGTCCGATGACTGGGAGAGGAACCAATTCATTTTATGATTTGCACCTTTTTAAAAACTATTATCCCCGTTGAATTCATCTATTATTTCATGAGAAAAGGACCAAAATGAGGTCCTGTTTCCATCACTGCCGATCGGAGCCGAGTACAGCGGCAAAGGGCTTCATTTCTAGTTGACCATGCAATAGTTGACCATGCAGCAGGGACGCTTCCTTTCACCCTCCTCTCCTCAGCAGAGCTCCGTCTCTCTCTCTCCCTCTCAATTGATATGTGCTTGATTTCCAACAGCCCCCTCCGGCGCCCGCTGGGGAGCCTTTTTAGATTTTACGCTTGGATATATCTGTTTAACTCCCCGTTTACCCCTCTGACAGCACAACGGCACACACACACGCGGACACACACGCAGACCCCCACAACATGCACAGCGCCATGCGGAGCTGCTGGCGGAGAAGGGGAGGGAGAGGGATGCTTCCCCACGGTCCTCTGGGAATTGGATATAATACAATACAATAAAAGAGACAGAGGAGAGAAGGAGAGATGGTTTTATTCTGGCGTGAGACGTGTGTGTGTGTGTGTGTGTGCGTGTGGCTGATATGTGTGAATGCTGTTAAGAGGATGGAGCGTAGACGGAGTGGAACTCATTCATCAGCTCCTGTTTGTAGAAACAAAAGGTTAGGAAATAGGAGGCCGGAAAAATAAAACTTATCTTTAGCGTTACGTGGCGCGGAGGCTAACTTACGGATGAAACTTGTTCATCCTTCTCTACAATGTTACTTAAACTCTTTCCTTTTCCGAAGGCTCAGTTATTCATGAGTGTCCTGAGGTGTGTGTGTGTGTGTGTTTCAGGGGCGGTGTTATGCTAATGGCTCTTAGACAGTTAACACAATGCCAGAAGGGAGGTGGAGCGGCTGCAGCCTCAGCCGGCAGCGTGACCGATGGACGGACTCCATCCAGGACACGCTGTTGTTTTCTCAATTATTTACGCAACAGCAGTAAAGAACAACACGAAGGAATGATGAAGGCAAAGTTGGCTTATAAAACAATTGATAGTTAATGTGCGTATTTATTGGGCTTGGAAAGAGAAATGCAATACAAGTTGAATCCATAAAATCTAAGAGCCCATTAGATTTAAATGGTAGTTTTAAAAACACCTGTTCGCTAATGGGCTTTAGGAAAAGACACTCAAAACACCAAAATGATTTTGTGAAACATTTTTTTTTTACCCCTGTGTGTTTTTGTTTGCTGCGTTCTTTCATTTCCAGTTTCGCTTTACATTTACACGTCCTTTACTTTTCCCAGAAAACAGATGCAGGCTGTGGAACCTCCTTATTATAGGCTTGTGTTTGTCATTTCATTTTGCCTTCTTTTGAAAAATGTTGCATTATCCTTATATAGTAGCAATGTGCTCATGTAAATATTGTTTGGTGAGTGGCGGTCCTTGTGTTGCCTAGAAGGAAACTAATAGATATGTAACTAAATAGATGGCAGACCTAATTGATCTATAATGCCTTTTATTCTCCTGGTGCAGGCGTGACTATCGGAACATAACTATCGATCCCCCTCACGTCTCTCGTCCTCACCCTTTCGCTCATCCCTTCCCCTCTGTTGAACCCTTGACCACGACCTATAAAGGTCAGAGGTCAAGGCTGAGGGTCAGCTCGGTCACACTGAGAAGTCGGGAGACCCGCCCGCCTCTTTTTCTCCATTTAAGCAGGTGGAAAGAACGTGATTGTGGTGTTAGATTGATTGTTGTTGCATGCCAGAGACCCGCAGTATCTGTGTGTGTGTGTGTGTGTGTGTGTGTCGTCTCGACAACAACAATGCATTTCAATAGGCCTAATGTGAAAAGCTGTCAATACTGCTGATCCAAACCACAATGCTTCATAGGAGGTTATTGCCCTTTGACTGATGTGTGTGTATCCGTGTGTCTGTGTACAGAATGTGTGTGTGTGTGTGTGTGTGTGTGTGTGTGTGTGTGTGTGTGGGTTAGTTAATTGACAGATGTTGGCGCTTACACAGCAGCCAGAGGGAAGTAAAGAAACTATGTATTGATTGTTTCTGTCATGATTGTCAGCTGTCTCCTCTTTTATATTTATTCTCCTATTGTTTTTTATATGTTGCTGTAGGTTTTGTCTTTCGGATTTAATATATGACGTTTGACGAAATATATAATAAATAAATATATATATTCGATATTCACTGAGCCGGAGAAAGATTGTCCACTTGTTAGTATTTCGGATTGCTCTTAGCTAAGATAAAGTTTTGCAGATTTAATAAATGTAACTGAATTGTGATTTATTCTCAATCATGTACTCTAAGTGTCATCTTATTTGCTTTTGTCCACAGTTTAGATTGGATGCCATTTATTTAATGTCTGTGTCATTACTTTGTCCCAATCGTGTTTCTACCTTGATAAATTGTCCTTGGTGCTGTAATGTAAGTTTCACATTCCCTATTTGATTTAAATAATCAGCATCTTTATGTTACCGGCATGTTACACAGTTATTACTGGACAAATGAACCCAAGCGGTTGGTTGTTATTGGTAGTCTGTCTATGAGTGTTTGCACGCGTGTTTACACGCCTCCAACCATTTCTGTAGTCTGTGCGCGTGCGTTGTGAAATTAGGGGTTATTGAGCTCCTCTGACTGGAGTGTCCCCGTGGTGCGCCTTCTCACCTCTGGATATCAAACAGCATACACACAAATCCCCGTGGTGATTATCAGATCCCCTCCAGATCCTCTCGAAGCCTCTGACTGAAGTGGAATTCACTTTGCTTTTTATTTACTGGCTATAGAGACCTAACAAACACGGTCTTACAGGACACGTGCACATGCATCAAGAAAAAAATAGATATTTCTTTTCCTGACATATTGTGATTATAGTAGTAGTAGTAGATAGTATTACACATCATATTTCATTAGAATAAGCTTGTTAATAGGATTAACGCCTTGACACTAAGGGTTAGAAGGTGCTGGACTGAGATGTCTTTTAATGTGTGTCTATGCCTTTGCTGGCATTGGTTTCCTTATCATATGTAAGAAGAAACTCATGCACATGTGGTTGAACATCACTGCTCTCAGCATTAAATCTCATCTTTGAAACCCATTCAATCAGGAGCAGCAATATTCACATGAGTCTCATAACTCAGTTCACCACAGTACATGTGTTAATATTAAGCGCTGCATGTGTGTTTCTGCATATGAGCTTTTATACCTGCAACGAATCTATAATGGGTGAATGTCATTGATCTCACATCTGCGTATGTGTGGAAAAGGATTCCTGCTTGCCGCCCAAATGTGTATATTTGTGCACTCGCCCATTATGCATGCGTGACTCTTTGAATATGTCTCTAAATGATCATATTTGTCCCCTGGATGTTGCTGAATCTAAATCGGGTCTGTCTGACTCCCCACAGACAGCCACGTATTGAGATATTATGGGATTTGTGCAGGTGCACTCACCTCTCTCTCTTCCTCCCCCTCCCTCTCCTCGTATGTGTGCGTAGGGATATTATGGAGATCAGAGGTAGGCTGGGAGCCTCTGAGGCTATTAGCTCATCTGTATTGTATTGAGACGAGGGTATGTACACATCTGCTGATGACACCAGAGAATTGAGCTGTGTGTGTGTGTGTGTGTGTTTGATCCCAGACACACTCTTTCTTCTCTTTTCCTTTCTTCCATGCCTGCGTATGCATCCATGCCATCTTGTCCTGCTGAGACTCCAATAATATTTTAACTTGACAACTATGCCTTTGCTGGCAAATTGCTCAGCTGTGGTAAAACAACTGAAATAAACAGAACGTGTATGGCACACAATTTATTTGCGTTTCTTTTTTTCTTCTGCTCTTTGAGGAGCCAGGATTGATATATCAAGGGAGTTATTGCCATCAAAATGTAAAACATTTGAATATGTGAATTGTCAAAATGAACAG